TTGGAAATGTTAATTCATCAGCAGCCTGTGAGCCACCCAGAGAGCAGCAGGGCAGGTCCCCACAGGGAGACCTGGTGGGCCAGAACCTGCCCAGGGTTCTGAGATGGGGCTGGGGCCAGGGTGGCTGCTCTCTCCTGGGTCTGCAGGATTCGAGCCTGATCTGAGAGCCCCAGACACTTCCCTTCCCTACAGATTATTTGTAGCAAGCTCTCTGTGCTCCAGGAGGGCAGGGTCTTGGGCTGTCTCCTCGTCTGCTGTCTCTCTGGGGCTAGAATGTAACAGATGCAAGCCCTTGTCTGCCCAGAGCAGGGAGAGCCAGGTCAAGGCCAAGGTGGTAAATGAGGACATTGAATATGGCATTTGAAGTCTAGAAGTGCGTGGAGAAAACGATATAACAGGGACAAGCAAAGGAAATGTGGGAAGCGGATCAGTGACAGATGGGGGTCCAAGAATGGCCACCTGAGGCCCGGTGCAGTGGCTCACACCTGTAACCCCAGCACTTTGGGAGGCCGAGGTGGGTGGATCACCTGAGGTCAAGAGTTTGAGACCAGCCTGGCCAACATGGCAACACCCCGTCTCTACTAAAAATACAAAAATTAGCCAGACATGGTGGCGCATGCCTGTAATCCCAGCTACTTGGGAGGCTGAGGCAGGAGAATCGCTTGAACCTGGGAGGTGGAGGTTGCAGTGAGCCACGATCATGCCATTGCACTCCAGCCTGGGCAAAAGAGCGAGACTCCATCTCAAAAACAAAAAGAATAGCCACATGGGAAGCTGACACTTGAGCCAGCCCCTAGGGGAGGAGTCATGCGAAGGTTGGGGAAGAGTGTTTCCGGCCGAGTGCACAGACTGTGCAAAGGCCCCGAGGCAGGAACAGAACATGCCGGGTGTGTTCCAGGAACAGTGAAACGTTGGGTGTGGCTAGAGCGAGCCAGGGAGAGGGAGATGGAGAGAGGGGAGGACGGAGAGGAAGATGAAGCTGGAGGAAAAGGAAGATGGAGGGGAGATGGGGAGATGAAGAGGGAGAGATGACTGGGCGTGGTGGCTCGTTCTGTAGTCCCAGCACTTTAGGAAGACGAGGCAGGTGGATCACCTGAGCTCGGGAGTTTGACACTAGCCTGGGCAACAAAGTGAGACCTCATTTCTACTAAAAATACAAAAATTAGCCAGATGTGGCGGCATACACCTGGAGTCTCAGGTACTTGGGAGGCTGAGGCAGGAGAATCACTTGTATCTGGGAGGCGGAGGTTGCAGTGAGATGACATTGCGCCACTGTACTCCAACCTGGGCGACAGAGCAAGACTCTGTCTCAAAAAAAAAAAAAAAAAAAGGTGGGGGAGAGAATGGAGTGGGAGGAGGGTCTGTCTCTATCACCGCAGGGTCTCAGCTAGTGTGGGGCTGGCTCTCAGTAGGTGCTCACCATTTCAGGAATCAGAGTTCATGCCTCTGCAGCTGGCCGCTAGGGAGGGCAGGTGCACTGGGTGCTGGACTCAGGCGCATGAAATGAACATTGGTCCAGCCTCTGTTGACTGAGCACATGTTCCAGCAGGCGCACAGATGCTAGAGACACACAGACGCATAGATCTCCTGGGTGTCATTGAATGATGGAGGGAATGAATGAATGATGAAGGAAGAAATGAATGAGTGAATAAGTGAGTGATGGAATGAATGAGTGAGGGAATGAGTGAAGGAGGGGGAAATAGACCCATGATCCAGGGGCTCTGTGCAAGGCTTTGAGGGGAAGAGTGAAGGGGGACAGGGAGGGCTCCCAGGATGGACAAGAGAACCCCCTGAGACCAGCGTGCCCCGCTGACCACACCTGGCCCCATTTAGGGAGAGCTGTGATGGGGGAACAGCAAGCATGCATGGGCCATGTGGTGCCTGGAAGGCTTCCTGAGGGAGGCGATGAGGATGCTGGGGGTGCTCAGTGAGTGGGGAGGTGTGGGGGGGCTTTGCTCAGCTCAGTGAGCTTGTGGTCATTGGGGATAGGGAGGCATTGTCACTAGGAGCTCAGCCACCTGATCATATCCCCAAAGCAGCCAGAGGTGCCTTCTAGGAGCTTCCAGGATAAATGGTTTGACCCATGCAGGATGTCTCATGAAAACCCTGGCCCTCTCCCCCAGATGCTCTCCTCCAGCAAACCCCACCACCCTCCCATCTCCACAGTTTTCATTGTGAACCCCTCCTGGGGCCCGTGAGCCTGCCTCAGACCTCATGCCCCTTTCATCTCGCCTTCCCCTGATTCCCCCGCACTGACCTCCACTCTGGTCCTCAACTGTGCCCCATTCCCAAGCCTGTTCCCACCCCAGGGCCTTTGCACTGGCCGCCGTCTGGAGGTACCCACAGCCGCCCCCTGTTGCCTCACCAGGCCCTGCTCAGATACCACCTGCCTCTCTCAAGGGCGTCCCCTGCCTCTGCCCCGGGTCCACAGGACCGACCACATCACCCCTTGCAGTCTTGTCACCATCCAGCACTGTCTGGTATTCAGTCATGTACATGGAAGGGGTCTCTCTCCCCAGAGGACTGTGAACCCCAGAGGGTGGGGCCTGGTGGTCTGGGTGCTCTGTCCCCAGAGCTGCAAACAGTGCCTAAAACACAACAGGCACTGGTATGCACCGGCTGCCTGAATGAATGAAGGAGGGAATGAATGAATGAAAGAGGGAGTAACTGATAAATGGAGGGAAAGAAAAAAGGAGAGAGTGAATGATAGAGGGAATAAATGCATGTGGGAGGGAATAAATGAACAAAGGAGGGAATGAATGAGTGAAGGAGACAATGAATAAGGATGGAATGAGTCCGGATGTGGTGGCTCACGCCTGTAATCCCAGCACTTTGAGGCCGAGGCGGGTGGACGACCTGAGCCCGGGAGATCGAGACTAGCCTGGCCAACATGGTGAAACCCCATCTCTACAAAAAATACAGAAATGTTGCTGGGGTGGTGGTGTACTCCTGTAGTCTCAGTGACTAGGGAGGCTGAGGTGAGAGGATCACTTGAGCCTGGGAGGTCTGCAGTGAGCCACGGTCATGTACCCGAGTCTGGGTGACAGAGTGAGATCCTGTCTCAAAAAACCAGAAACTGAATGAGTGAAGGAGGGAAGGAATGAATGAGGGAGGGAAAGAATGAATGACAGAATGAGCGAACGCTGGTGCTGAGGTCCACTGTGAAGATGTTTAGCGGTGTGAGGAACCGTTGCAGGGATTTGGGGAGCCTTGGGAGAGGCAGGGGAGATCCAAAGGATGGATTCGATAATGATGGTTTTGATGTGGAAGCTGGAGGGAGGTGGTGACTGGGCCAGGCTGAATCAGGGGCAGGTGGGGTCGAGCCCCTGCCCTGTGTTGGTCAGGGCTGGGCACGTGTGGGTACTGTAGCAAACACACCACACATGCCAGTGGCTCAGCCCAACACAAGGTAACTGGTTCCCAGAGCTGGGGTGCAGGGTGGAGGCAGGGAGCCAGGAAGGGGTGAAGACCACTCATTTTCCCAACTTCTAAATAAATAAATTCTGAATTTCCAGGTTCTGTGATCTAAAGCAGTTTTTTCCTTTTTTCTTTCTTTCTTTCTTTTTCTTTTCTTTTTTTTTTTTTTTTTTTTTTTTTTTTTTTTTTTTTT